TTGTTAGCTCAACTGTTCATATTTACTGTCATGGTTCAGAGATTATTCAAATGAATTCAGGATCAAATATCGTGTAGGATTTAAGAGATTTTGTCAAAAGTGTTCAGTATTTTCAACAAATAATATCATGCTGACAATTGTATCTCTTCTTGAATAGAAAACCAACATGTCAGCCTTATACCCACTTCCCAAGATGGCTGTCAGAGACTTTGATTGGCCAAGACATTTAGGGCTTTCATTTGAGTTCTCTTTGGCCAACTTTGTTAATGCATTATGGGAATGATAAACAGTATGTATATATGTACTTTGTATCAATTAAATGATTAACTTTTAAATTTTAAATTTTGACTATGATTTTGTAAAGGAATTGCATTGTACATAGATAGTGTCAAAGTAATATATAACCTTGTTATAGCTTCGGCGAGAGGGAATTTCATTTAAACTCAGCTGTAAAGCGTCAAACATATAAGAATGTTAAAGATTGTTGATAAGATCAATGGTTTTATTCCCAGCAAATGCAAGTATTCTTTTCACTAACATATATACTTATGAATACAACTTCAGATGTATTGCATGGATTAATATAAGACAAAGTGAAAGTGCAGCAGCCATAATAGCACAGTCTCTGTAACAGTTAGCACAGTCTCTGTTACAGTACTTAAAAACAACTTTGATATAATTGTTATAAAAAAACCTAATACTTTTAGGAAAAATATTGAGAATATAAAAGAAAACCCTAACCATCAAAATAGTGAAATGAAATAAATGGGAAAATAAGTCTTTATGCTGTACCTGTAATATATATTAAATTTGAAGCTATGTCGAATAGATATATTTATAACTCTCTTTGACTGTAAACTCTTACAGTCGCTGTTGTTAGAATTTAAGATGATGACATAGTATATAATAGACACCAGTAAGGTCATGTCAAGCATCTCAAATTGTTATTGATAATTCATATAATAGGAGCGGTATTTCTAACCCTGCCATTGATCAGCAAAAGGATTAAAAAAGCTACCCCGGCTAGACTTTCTATTACCTTGTATTGACTGTTATGTATGAAAGTGAAAAGCTGTCATTGATATATATCCGGATTGATTTGAAATGTGACATGTGTTTTATAATGTTATCATCTTAAAACGGGACGCTTATAATCTCAAGCTTTTGGAAAGCACAAAAAAAGGGCTAAGCATGGAGTGTATTCCTGGAACCTGCAAGTCCGACAGATATAATCTAGAAAATATATATCATGGATGAAGGAACTTATACACATGGATTGTTTAGACAGCTATTTCCTGGAGGACCTTTATCAGGTAATGCGGTTTATGGCTATCACATTGTGTGTGGGATGGAGTATATTGGAGAAATGGTCACAGGGAAAGGAATATACCCTAGACTGGATTGTTTAGACGAATAGAAATTTTACTGTATAATTATAAGTCTTCAACATTTTGTGAGATAGGAATTTTTGTTGTCAATGATGCTGCAATATGTCTCCTTTGTATCCAGTATACATGGTCTGTGAACATGATGTTTCTTGTGTAGTGAAACCAGACTGGCTCTATATATCATTGTCTGACCAGGTAGCTCAGTTGGTAAGAGTGTCTTTGTCTAGAGTTCAGAGGTTCCGGGTTTGAATCCCAGTCTGGTTGTGCATTTCCTTTTTCCTGTTACAGTGTCGCCTGTGACCAACCCTTGTTTCAAGTAATAGGTGTACGAAGCGTACAAGGGGATACTTGAACTCGGATTGTAAATACAGGGCTAGAAATGAATTTTGAAAACCACTAGTTAATTGGGGTTGTAGTTTCCAGTTTTTACTAGGCTGTGTTCAAATTTCCACCATGTAAAAATTTCACTAGCACAATATTATTCAACAAGATAAGTTATATCAAATTTCGACTTGTCAATTAAGCTGGAGATTTCACGAAGTCTCAGACTATTGGACTACCCTTATTTTCTAGCCCTGAATTAGGGTTGTCTTCGGGGGCAAAGACATAGAAAAAAGACAAAGGAATGTAGCAGAACTGGACAGAGCTGATTGCCAAAGACCTTGTAGCTCAATTGGTTAGAGCGACGTCTGTCTAGAGTTTGGGGTTCTGAGTTGGAATCCAGGTCTGGCTGTACATATTTCCTCTCCTGTTACACTTGCATACATCTTTTAGGAAGCATTATACCCATAAATGTTCAACCTATACTCTAACAATTTTGATCACTTGAATGTCTGATTCTAAAGTTTCTAACAAGGGGGAGATAAGCTAGTACTACATGTAATAAAATGCAACTTGAAAATTCTTTAAAAAAACACCTTAGGGGGTCAGATAGCCAGTCTAGCCCCCACCAAAATAAAACAAAAACAGCACACAAGGTACAATGTACAGTAACACAAGTTTATAACATAGCCTATTTGCCGTTATTTGTTCTTGGGTTAAATGTAAATTGCTGTTCACAGTAAGTGTGTTACTGTACTTGTATATGTACTGGGTGAGTGATATGTTTGGCCATCTCAATGTCTAACACCTTCTAATGACATACTACTGTATATGTTGTGGAGACGTTGTGTCCCTGTCAGACATTTCACCCCTCCAGCGTGGATTATAGTGGGGATTTATTGTCCTCTCCTCACTGTTAGGTCACACACGGACAGACAGATTGCAGACCTAGCAGATTTATCGTGCAGGAAAAAAATCAATCAGAACATCTACCCATACAGTAACCACCTACTGCCGACCTTCTCTATACCTACTACAGCATCATGTCTTTGCCATTTGTCGTAATAAAGTCTTGCATTATTTTTCTTAAGTTCAATTTCTTTGGAAAGAAACCAAAGCCCAGACAATGTCACTGACATCAGCTTATTCTTGGTTGCACTGTTGGTTGGCTATATGTATATGACGTCACACTGGTAAAATACTAGCTGCTACCTACAGACTCGGCTAGCTAGGGAGAATTTCTCTTTTAGTCATTTAGTAAAGTGGTAGACTTGTAAACCAGAGGTCTTGAGTCAGATCCCTAGTGGTGGCATCAAAAACCTACTGGCTTTGGTTACATCGATGCCTACATAAAGACCTGGGAAAGGAAATCAAACTTACAAGCATTGCTTTTACCCTGGAAGAACTTGGGACTTTGGGGTGGGGGGTGGGGGAAGAGTAGATATTAGCCACCTCCTACCAACCCGGAGAGAAGGAGAATTTCTCTTCAGCTCATTCTGTTGAAGGGAAGGATCTTTTTGGATTTTTCAGCTAGAGGTCTAGGGTTGGATTCCTTGCCGATGTCCAGAATGACAAATCCTTGTTTGGGCTTAGTGTGTCTTCGTTTAAGGCTGACAACCATTCCAGTCTAATATCCTTCTTTTATCCTTTTCTTTGCTTCTCTAGAGGATTAATTGGTTTAAATTAAGATAAGATTTTAATTATAGAATGGCCTCTATGAAGTAATGAACCCCTATATATGGACATTTAATGATGACGACCATGTAATGTTAACCTCTGTTTAATGGTGACCTCTATTTTAGTAATGACCACTATTGTATATATAATGATGATCTCTATGTATTGATGACCTCTATATAACGATGACTCCGTATTCATGACCTCTGTGTATTCATGACCTCTATATAATGATGACCTCTTTGTAATGATGAACTTGAGCTCTATACAATATTGTCATAATTTTAGCATGATGACCTTTCATTACTGATATGTTAATGGATTGAATTAATTAAAAGTGCCATGCATTGATGGTTAAAAGACTTATTTAATTGAATTCTATGTTATGTGATAATAATTCTTGGGTCAAAAGCTGTCTATTAATCCTGGTCATGTGATAACGTTGGTAATCATTTCATTAAAGGTTCATATTTTGGTTGGTAATTTACCACCTTTCCTCAGGTTCAGCACTGATAAGGATTAGTTATGGAGGATTCAATTTCAAATTGGTTTTAGTTTAGTGACATGGATATAAATGGGCTGTCCAATGAGTGAGGCGAAGACTTAATGAACAAGAAGATTATAAAGCTGTTTATTTCAGTTATCTTCTTAAAATAATGTTTTTGTACATGTCACGTTAGTGATAATGTGTACGGAGACCGCTGCCCTGTGTAACCTTCAGGGTTGGTTACATCTTATTGTATGTTATTATCTTTCTAATAAATTTCACTAACTGTATTACACATATTTAAATCTGCTATTGAAAATTTATTATGTGTATTCAGATATTTATTACATCTGCAAATACCGATTAATAGAACTGCATCCAAAGAGCACAGAGCACATTGTTCAGTTATTGGATGTTGAGGGTATTTTTAATAACACACATTTGTGAGACTCCGTATTTTCCCTGTGGGATATTTTTATAATCCAAGCTCTGGAAGCAGTGTCATTTAGTTTTAATTGACTTTCTGTTTCCTTATACTGCATTTTTATGAGAGTCAAGTTTGAGCAGTTGTCGGAATCAAGGCTGATCTAACTATAGAGACAAGAATAACATGTGATAATTTGTTCAGTGGTAAGGGATCAAACTCCATTTTATTTTGTAGCTCTAAGGGGCACTGCATCAGCTGTTTCATACAGAGAGAGACAGCAAAGAAAATCACTCAACCGTTTCACTGTTTGCATAATGCAACAGCTATTTGAGACTATAAATGGAGAAAAAGTAATCTAAGCGTGGAATATTAAAATGATTTCTTTATTGTGTCCATATTTTTATGGCTGAAATCAATACAAGGTATTAATTATAGCTTCATACAGGTCCAGGGCAGGGAGCTGGGCCCACAGAAACAGATCCCTGATTCTATTGGTCCATCTGTTGTCACTGCTGTTGCTACGGCTGCTGAGCTACTGTATCATACTTTCACTTTGCTTTTGACCTTTTAACAAGGATTTGATTCAAAGGACCATTTTATTTATTCAAGAAGGATTTACTCATTTTTCAAAATTAACAAACTTTTGCCTGTTACTTCTGTAAACAAAGGCTTTCATTATCTTTTTTTCTGATTCCTCCAGGATATGGAACCTGCTGAAGTAACAGACATTACTAAGAAATTACTAAGTACAGGAACAACACATTACTGGTATGTATATCTAGTTTTTCTGTAACATTTATGTCTCCTTTCTAATAAACAAGTCAATAACCTCCTACTGTAAAATAATTCATGACAAACACTTACATAAGACGGTGTAAAGAGCCAGTGAGTGGTACTTAATTAATACAATACACAGTGCTAGTGTATCTGATACACTAGAACACCTTGGTTGGTATACACAGTGCTAGTGTATCTGATACACTAGAACACCTTGGTATATACAAAGTGCTAGTATATTTGATACACTAGAACACCTTTGTATATACACAGTGCTAGTGTATCTGATGCACTAGAACACCTTGGTGTATACACAGTGCTAGTGTATCTGATACCCTCGAACACCTTGTTATATACACAGTGCTAGCTAGTGTATCTAAAACACTAGAGCATCTTGGTATATACACAGTGCTAGTGTATCTACACAGTGCTAGTATATCTGATATACTAGAACACCTTGGTACATACACAGTGCTAGTGTATCTACACAGTGCTAGTATATCTGATATACTAGAACACCTTGGTACATACACAGTGCTAGTGTATCTACACAGGGCTAGTGGATCTGATATACTAGAACACCTTGGTATATACACAGTGCATATACACAGTGCTAGCTAGTATATCTGACACACTAGAACACCTTGGTATATACACAGGGCTAGTGTATCTGATACACTAGAACACCTTTGTATATACACAGTGCTAGTGTATCTGAAATACTAGAACACCTTGGTATATACACAGTGCAAGTATATTTGATACACTAGAACACCTTTGTATATACACAGTGCTAGTGTATCTGATGCACTAGAACACCTTGGTGTATACACAGTGCTAGTGTATCTGATACCCTCGAACACCTTGTTATATACACAGTGCTAGTGTATCTACACAGGGCTAGTGGATCTGATATACTAGAACACCTTGGTATATACCCAGTGCTAGCTAGTATATCTGATACACCAGAACAACTTGGTATATACACAGTGCAAGCTAGTATATCTGGTACACTAGAACACCTTGGTATATACACGGTGCTAGTATATTTGATACACTAGAACACCTTGGTTTATACACAGTGCTAGTGTATCTGATACCCTAGAACACCTTGGTGTATACACAGTGCTAGCGTATCTGATACACTATAACACCTTGGTATACACAAAGTGCTAGCGTAACTGATACACTAGAACACCTTGGTGTATACACAGTGCTAGCGTATCTGATACACTATAACACCTTGGTATATACACAGTGCTAGTGTATCTTATACACTAGAACATCTTGGTATATACACAGTGCTAGTGTATCTGGTACACTAGAACACCTTGGTATATACACACTGCTAGTGTATCTGATACCCTAGAACACCTTGGGAAATACACAGTGCTAGTGTATCTGATACAATAGGACACTTTTGTATATACACAGTGCTAGCTAGTATATCTGACACACTAGAACACCTTGGTATATACACACTGCTAGTGTATCTGATACCCTAGAACACCTTGGTGTATACACAGTGCTAGCGTATCTGATACACTATAACACCTTGGTATATACACAGTGCTAGTATATTTGATACACTAGGACACCTTGGTATATACACAGTGCTAGCTAGTATATCTGATACACTAGAACAACTTGGTATATACACAGTGCAAGCTAGTATATCTGATACACTAGAACACCTTGGTATATACACAGTGCTAGTATATTTGATACACTAGAACACCTTGGTATATACACAGTGCTAGTGTATCTGATACACTAGAACACCTTCATATATATACAGTGATGTACGTATTAGTATCACATTAATTAGGCACCAGGAGCGGAGACCATGTGAGGCACAGTTGTGGTGTGGTCGGACACATGTTTATGTAGGGGTAACACACACCGGGCTAGTGTGTCATATCATATACACCACCCTTTGTCCAACACAAGCATAATCATTTATATGAGGGTACTGCGTTAGAATAAATGTTATACTTCTCTGCAATGCCATGCATATTTACATGACCCTTTTCCTATTATGGTACATCAACATGATCCCGAGTAAAAAATAATTCATAATTCAACTGTCCATTAAATGGCGTAAAGTGTCATTTTGTTATTTGTTTGTATGAATTTCTTGAATTTCTACCCCAGTAGCAAGAACTCCCAATTGACTGAAACTCATTGGTTTTTATCTATTAATCAAACTGACATTGAAACAATAATGGGTTCTGAACAGTTTAGTGCTATTTTAAGCTATGGTAATGTGACTTAGCTGAAATGAATGATGCTCGAATTGAACATAAATATGGGAAATAATTATTTATGTTTTGTAAAATTAAGCATATAAAGAAAAATCGTAGGTATGTAATAAATGAAATATTATACTTATGTCTTCATGTGACATCTCAGATTGTACTCATGGCTGGGTAGAGGTAGGTCACTATAGGTTAAAGCCCAGCTCCTGTAATATATCCATACAACACACTTATGTAATCTAGGCCATACTTGATGAACACCTATGTGAAGTATTGCCTATTTATCACCTGAGTATTGTGTCATGCAGTGAACACATCCAGGTCGTAATTTTTATGTCACTTCACTTCATTGCGATGTCGAAATTAAAACAATGTGACATCGAGACATTGTGACATCACATTGATGTCAAATTGCAATATTGAAGGCTTGTGAATATATCCTTACTTTCTTGTTAATATTATAAAAAAAGGTTTTAATTTATTTGTTTTTATATATAAGATTTTTGTGACTTGTCCTGAATTTTATTATTTAACATGGCAGATCCTCACTAAAATGAAAACTTTTAGACTAGTTTCGTCAATGTCATATGAAGTGAAACACTTCTGATCTTTTTTGAACTGTTTTCTGAAAATTATAAGTTAAAAATACATAGTATGTATAACTCTATTACCATATCTGTCAAGACAGTTATAAATGCAATTAATGCAGGTGGCTATCAGAAGATTGACCTATTTAATGCATGTATATTAAATAAAAAGATTGACCAAGTGCATATATATATACTTACAAGAAGGTTGACATATTCTTGCATAGACCTCATCAAGTTGGGACGTGTCAGAGGCAAACGTTTTACATGATATTTGAATTCCCCTGTAGCTATATAATAATACAATTTCAGGTATTTTCAAATGAAAATGTTCATGCGGGGATCGAGGTTAATAGAAATACAAGATAATTTGTGAAGCAATTCCCATCTGTAAGATAAAGACCTAATTACACAACTTTTCTTTTAACATAACTTTCAAGGAAGGTGATTTTAGTCTGATAAAAGTCTGCCTGTGTTAGGACAGTTTATTGAAGTTTTTGACTCCAGGGATAGACAGCTACAATACACACCTGCTACCAGGCAATACTTTTGTAGACAACGAAAAAATAATTACAATTTTGTAGAAATGAAAGTGCCACAAAAACACAGGTTGCTTCGAAATTGCAAAAAAAGTAACTGCGTGAACTGATGACATGACCAGCCTAACACAATAAGGATGACGGAACCTCTATCTGGTTATGTAAATAAGGTATCAATATTTGCTATAGAACGTGTATCCGATCCCCCACCCCGGTTGTCGGAGCATGATTCATCACTTAAAGCTGTCAGGGGAGTTGTATAACGGAGGACAAAGGGAACCCCACTATATCCAATAGCCTTTGTTACAGTTACAAACAGTGATTAGAGGGTTTGTGGTCATGTCAAATACATCTAAAACCTAAACAGGTGTAATGGAGGGGAAAACTGTCCTAACAAATGTAGTAAAATGGCAATTTATTACACGAGTATTATACACTGCCATTGATAGTCTTCCTAAGGGTATCTGATTCACAGCAAATCAGCAGGTACCTAAGTTTGTTTATTACAGAGCGGTTAGAACAGTGATTTACTGGCCTTTCACCTTCTTCATTGCTCTTACTTTAAAGTGCTTATTTGGTTTCCTGAGAGTATTGTATCTTTTGAAAATTCAACCACATCCTGTGATGACTGGATTTTGGAGTTTGGAGGAAATAACAATATTTTGTGGGGTTGTTAAGGCAGTATCTTCCCTGTAGCAATTAGTGATGGGCTGATAATCGATTATAATCGAAAAACCAATCGGTTTGCCCTTTCCCATTCCTATGATCGATTACAAATTACAAGTGTACATTATCGATATACTGTAAGTTTGCGGGTATACTGCACACTCGGATATAGTGCGCAGGTACGTTTTTGGGGTCAGATTTGAAAAAAAAAATGGAAAAAAATCCTAAAAATAAATGGTATCAAACAGGAAAAGTAGCATCAAAGGTAGCTTGGTGTTTATAACGCCGATTAATTGGAGTCAACAAGCCCATAAAGGTCTCCCTATCGCTTGGAATGAGTGGATGATGGACGAATAATCGCCGATCAACTTATGTTTCGACATCGCTGCGGTTTTCTCATAATTACGAAAATGTAGTTTTTCAATCATAGGCTCCGTTCCATATTAGTTCTGTGTTGTTTTTTACCAAATCGCTAAGCCTAGTGTGCATGCTTTTTTCCGGCCCACTTTCATGTTTTGACGTCATCGATAACCTCGTGAGTTATTTCAATATTATGAAGCATCATAAAAATAATGTATTCTTTCAACACCACAGTTAATACAAATTACAATGCAGTAGTTAGCTTACACTCTATCAGTGATTACCGATTAACAATAGCTCTACTGCAATTTAATTGAAGTTATTTGCAGTCGTGATCGAGGGACCGTGTTGTTTTCACTCCTCAACACGTGGCTTTTCCCTTCGAGTAGATTTGAAAGGGATGTGTTGAATGTCCACGCTTCTAGTATAAACATATTTTTTATGCCCTCCGGTCAACTTACCTGTAAAAATGTTACCTGTGCCCAGCTAGTGTTTGTCGCCAAATAAGCAGTCATGACCACAGATTACCGATTTTAATCATTTAAGAGAAGGTAAAAATTGTGTCACCAAAGAATTTCATT